CACTATGGCGGTGTGTCCACTCACAGGATGAGTGGCGCTGCCCAATACTGTCACTATGGCGGTGTGTCCACTCACAGGATGAGTGGCGCTGCCCAATACTGTCACTATGGCGGTGTGTCCACTCACAGGATGAGTGGCGCTGCCCAATACTGTCACTATGGCGGTGTGTCCACTCACAGGATGAGTGGCGCTGCCCAATACTGTCACTATGGCGGTGTGTCCACTCACAGGATGAGTGGCGCTGCCCAATACTGTCACTATGGCGGTGTGTCCACTCACAGGATGAGTGGCGCTGCCCAATACTGTCACTATGGCGGTGTGTCCACTCACAGGATGAGTGGCGCTGCCCAATACTGTCACTATGGCGGTGTGTCCACTCACAGGATGAGTGGCGCTGCCCAATACTGTCACTATGGCGGTGTGTCCACTCACAGGATGAGTGACGCTGCCCAATACTGTCACTATGGCGGTGTGTCCACTCACAGGATGAGTGACGCTGCCCAATACTGTCACTATGGCGGTGTGTCCACTCACAGGATGAGTGGCGCTGCCCAATACTGTCACTATGGCGGTGTGTCCACTCACAGGATGAGTGGCGCTGCCCAATACTGTCACTATGGCGGTGTGTCCACTCACAGGATGAGTGGCGCTGCCCAATACTGTCACTATGGCGGTGTGTCCACTCACAGGATGAGTGGCGCTGCCCAATACTGTCACTATGGCGGTGTGTCCACTCACAGGATGAGTGGCGCTGCCCAATACTGTCACTATGGCGGTGTGTCCACTCACAGGATGAGTGGCGCTGCCCAATACTGTCACTATGGCGGTGTGTCCACTCACAGGATGAGTGGCGCTGCCCAATACTGTCACTATGGCGGTGTGTCCACTCACAGGATGAGTGGCGCTGCCCAATACTGTCACTATGGCGGTGTGTCCACTCACAGGATGAGTGGCGCTGCCCAATACTGTCACTATGGCGGTGTGTCCACTCACAGGATGAGTGGCGCTGCCCAATACTGTCACTACGGCGGTGTGTCCACTCACAGGATGAGTGGCGCTGCCCAATACTGTCACTACGGCGGTGTGTCCACTCACAGGATGAGTGGCGCTGCCCAATACTGTCACTACGGCGGTGTGTCCACTCACAGGATGAGTGGCGCTGCCCAATACTGTCACTACGGCGGTGTGTCCACTCACAGGATGAGTGGCGCTGCCCAATACTGTCACTATGGCGGTGTGTCCACTCACAGGATGAGTGGCGCTGCCCAATACTGTCACTATGGCGGTGTGTCCACTCACAGGATGAGTGGCGCTGCCCAATACTGTCACTATGGCGGTGTGTCCACTCACAGGATGAGTGGCGCTGCCCAATACTGTCACTATGGCGGTGTGTCCACTCACAGGATGAGTGGCGCTGCCCAATACTGTCACTATGGCGGTGTGTCCACTCACAGGATGAGTGGCGCTGCCCAATACTGTCACTATGGCGGTGTGTCCACTCACAGGATGAGTGGCGCTGCCCAATACTGTCACTATGGCGGTGTGTCCACTCACAGGATGAGTGGCGCTGCCCAATACTGTCACTATGGCGGTGTGTCCACTCACAGGATGAGTGGCGCTGCCCAATACTGTCACTATGGCGGTGTGTCCACTCACAGGATGAGTGACGCTGCCCAATACTGTCACTATGGCGGTGTGTCCACTCACAGGATGAGTGACGCTGCCCAATACTGTCACTATGGCGGTGTGTCCACTCACAGGATGAGTGGCGCTGCCCAATACTGTCACTATGGCGGTGTGTCCACTCACAGGATGAGTGACGCTGCCCAATACTGTCACTATGGCGGTGTGTCCACTCACAGGATGAGTGGCGCTGCCCAATACTGTCACTATGGCGGTGTGTCCACTCACAGGATGAGTGGCGCTGCCCAATACTGTCACTATGGCGGTGTGTCCACTCACAGGATGAGTGGCGCTGCCCAATACTGTCACTATGGCGGTGTGTCCACTCACAGGATGAGTGGCGCTGCCCAATACTGTCACTATGGCGGTGTGTCCACTCACAGGATGAGTGGCGCTGCCCAATACTGTCACTATGGCGGTGTGTCCACTCACAGGATGAGTGGCGCTGCCCAATACTGTCACTATGGCGGTGTGTCCACTCACAGGATGAGTGGCGCTGCCCAATACTGTCACTATGGCGGTGTGTCCACTCACAGGATGAGTGGCGCTGCCCAATACTGTCACTATGGCGGTGTGTCCACTCACAGGATGAGTGGCGCTGCCCAATACTGTCACTATGGCGGTGTGTCCACTCACAGGATGAGTGACGCTGCCCAATACTGTCACTATGGCGGTGTGTCCACTCACAGGATGAGTGGCGCTGCCCAATACTGTCACTATGGCGGTGTGTCCACTCACAGGATGAGTGGCGCTGCCCAATACTGTCACTATGGCGGTGTGTCCACTCACAGGATGAGTGGCGCTGCCCAATACTGTCACTATGGCGGTGTGTCCACTCACAGGATGAGTGGCGCTGCCCAATACTGTCACTATGGCGGTGTGTCCACTCACAGGATGAGTGGCGCTGCCCAATACTGTCACTATGGCGGTGTGTCCACTCACAGGATGAGTGGCGCTGCCCAATACTGTCACTATGGCGGTGTGTCCACTCACAGGATGAGTGACGCTGCCCAATACTGTCACTATGGCGGTGTGTCCACTCACAGGATGAGTGGCGCTGCCCAATACTGTCACTATGGCGGTGTGTCCACTCACAGGATGAGTGACGCTGCCCAATACTGTCACTATGGCGGTGTGTCCACTCACAGGATGAGTGGCGCTGCCCAATACTGTCACTATGGCGGTGTGTCCACTCACAGGATGAGTGGCGCTGCCCAATACTGTCACTATGGCGGTGTGTCCACTCACAGGATGAGTGACGCTGCCCAATACTGTCACTATGGCGGTGTGTCCACTCACAGGATGAGTGACGCTGCCCAATACTGTCACTATGGCGGTGTGTCCACTCACAGGATGAGTGGCGCTGCCCAATACTGTCACTATGGCGGTGTGTCCACTCACAGGATGAGTGACGCTGCCCAATACTGTCACTATGGCGGTGTGTCCACTCACAGGATGAGTGACGCTGCCCAATACTGTCACTATGGCGGTGTGTCCACTCACAGGATGAGTGGCGCTGCCCAATACTGTCACTATGGCGGTGTGTCCACTCACAGGATGAGTGACGCTGCCCAATACTGTCACTATGGCGGTGTGTCCACTCACAGGATGAGTGGCGCTGCCCAATACTGTCACTATGGCGGTGTGTCCACTCACAGGATGAGTGGCGCTGCCCAATACTGTCACTATGGCGGTGTGTCCACTCACAGGATGAGTGGCGCTGCCCAATACTGTCACTATGGCGGTGTGTCCACTCACAGGATGAGTGGCGCTGCCCAATACTGTCACTATGGCGGTGTGTCCACTCACAGGATGAGTGGCGCTGCCCAATACTGTCACTATGGCGGTGTGTCCACTCACAGGATGAGTGGCGCTGCCCAATACTGTCACTATGGCGGTGTGTCCACTCACAGGGTGAGTGGCGCTGCCCAATACTGTCACTATGGCGGTGTGTCCACTCACAGGATGAGTGGCGCTGCCCAATACTGTCACTATGGCGGTGTGTCCACTCACAGGATGAGTGGCGCTGCCCAATACTGTCACTATGGCGGTGTGTCCACTCACAGGATGAGTGACGCTGCCCAATACTGTCACTATGGCGGTGTGTCCACTCACAGGATGAGTGACGCTGCCCAATACTGTCACTATGGCGGTGTGTCCACTCACAGGATGAGTGACGCTGCCCAATACTGTCACTATGGCGGTGTGTCCACTCACAGGATGAGTGGCGCTGCCCAATACTGTCACTATGGCGGTGTGTCCACTCACAGGATGAGTGGCGCTGCCCAATACTGTCACTATGGCGGTGTGTCCACTCACAGGATGAGTGGCGCTGCCCAATACTGTCACTATGGCGGTGTGTCCACTCACAGGATGAGTGACGCTGCCCAATAAACTCGCCCCTCGGGGCAAAATTAATTTTTTTTTAAAACGAGTGCCATTCCTTGTGGCCAGTTGGTCACACCTCTCTGCTCCCCTCAGAGGTCACGTGACCTCTGGTTACTCTGCTGGGCATACCACCACTCACTCACCAGTCACTACATACCACTCACCAGTCTGGGTCACCAGTCGTGGCCTCTTCCTGGTGCCTCAAAACTTGGCTATGCCTGGTCACAGAAAGCTGTGTTTAAACGAAGACATTAGCTATATATGCCATGAAATAATCAGAACTAGGCTATAGCTCTGAAATATGCAAATATAGACGTTACCCGGTTGACCTGTCTATATCAGTAACTAACATTGGTCTTGGGTCTTCTGGCACATGTGTATAGTGTAGATATGACACTTGACACTTGAGAGCAAGCAGAGGTGTAGATATGACACTTGAGAGCAAGCAGAGGTGTAGATATGACACTTGAGAGCCAGCAGAGGTGTAGATATGACACTTGAGAGCAAGCAGAGGAGTAGATATGACACTTGAGAGCCAGCAGGGGTGTAGATATGACACTTGAGAGCCAGCAGGGGTGTAGATATGACACTTGAGAGCCAGCAGAGGTGTAGATATGACACTTGAGAGCAAGCAGAGGTGTAAATATGACACTTTAGAGCCTCCATGACTCTTCACTGACCAGCTACCCCTCAACTGCATGCAGCAGGAAACAGCATATCTTTATGCATACAATATTGTTGAATAATACCTATCACTGATAATACATTTTTAATTATTACACATTAGATCAAGTGTTCACATATTTTGTTTATACCAGCATTAATAAATATCAGTAGTTGTACATTTATTTTTAGCATTTGATGTGTAAAATGATTGTTGTTACAAGACATTGCTATGGCGTGTAACAGTTGCGCATCGTGTTCTTCAGGACGACTACGTGGAGAGCAAGATGTACCCCATCATCCCCCGCTACTTCATGCTGAAAGATATGATTCATGACGTGATGCGCGACCCAGCTTTTGTGGAGATGAGTCAGGAGGCTACACAGAGTCCCTCCACCGCAGCCTCCTAGTGGGACACCTCCAAGCTGCAGCATCCTAGTGGGACACCTCCAAGCTGCAGCATCCTAGTGGGACACCTCCAAGCTGCAGCATCCTAGTGGGACACCTCCAAGCTGCAGCATTCTTGTGGGACACCTCCAAGCTGCAGCATTCTTGTGGGACACCTCCAAGCTGCAGCATTCTAGTGGGACACCTCCAAGCTGCAGCATCCTAGTGGGACACCTCCAAGCTGCAGCATCCTAGTGGGACACCTCCAAGCTGCAGCATCCTAGTGGGACACCTCCAAGCTGCAGCATTCTTGTGGGACACCTCCAAGCTGCAGCATTCTTGTGAGACACCTCCAAGCTGCAGCATTCTTGTGGGACACCTCCAAGCTGCAGCATTCTTGTGGGACACCTCCAGCTGCAGCATTCTTGTGGGACACCTCCAAGCTGCAGCATTCTTGTGGGACACCTCCAAGCTGCAGCATCCTAGTGGGACACCTCCAAGCTGCAGCATCATAGTGGGACACCTCCAAGCTGCAGCATCATAGTGGGACACCTCCAAGCTGCAGCATCATAGTGGGACACCTCCAAGCTGCAGCATCATAGTGGGATACCTCCAAGCTGCAGCATCCTAGTGGGACACCTCCAAGCTGCAGCATTCTTGTGGGACACCTCCAAGCTGCAGCATCCTAGTGGGACACCTCCAAGTTGCAGCATCATAGTGGGACACCTCCAAGCTGCAGCATCCTAGTGGGACACCTCCAAGCTGCAGTATCATAGTGGGACACCTCCAAGCTGCAGCATTCTTGTGGGACACCTCCAAGCTGCAGCCTCCTAGTGGGACACCTCCAAGTTGCAGCATTCTAGTGGGACACCTCCAAGTTGCAGCATTCTAGTGGGACACCTCCAAGCTGCAGCATTCTTGTGGGACACCTTCAAGCTGCAGCATTCTTGTGGGACACCTCCAAGCTGCAGCATTCTTGTGGGACACCTCCAAGCTGCAGCTTCCTAGTGGGACACCTCCAAGCTGCAGCATTCTAGTGGGACACCTCCAAGCTGCAGCATTCTTGTGGGACACCTCCAAGCTGCAGCCTCCTAGTGGGACACCTCCAAACTGCAGCATCATTGTGGGACACCTCCAAGCTGCAGCATTCTTGTGGGACACCTCCAAGCTGCAGCATTCTTGTGGGACACCTCCAAGCTGCAGCATCACAGTGGGACACCTCCAAGCTGCAGCATCACAGTGGGACACCTCCAAGCTGCAGCATCACAGGGGACACCTCCAAGCTGCAGCATCATAGTGGGACACCTCCAAGCTGCAGCATTCTTGTGGGACACCTCCAAGCTGCAGCATCACAGTGGGACACCTCCAAGCTGCAGCATCATAGTAGGACACCTCCAAGCTGCAGCATCACAGTGGGACACCTCCAAGCTGCAGCATCATAGTAGGACACCTCCAAGCTGCAGCATCACAGTGGGACACCTCCAAGCTGCAGCATCACAGTGGGACACCTCCAAACTGCAGCATCATAGTGGGGCACCTCCAAGCTGCAGCATTCTTGTGGGACACCTCTAAGCTGCAGCATTCTAGTGGGACACCTCCAAGCTGCAGCATCACAGGGGACACCTCCAAGCTGCAGCATCACAGGGGACACCTCCAAGCTGCAGCATCACAGGGGACACCTCCAAGCTGCAGCATCCTAGTGGGACACCTCCAAGCTGCAGCATCATAGTGGGACACCTCCAAGCTGCAGCATCATAGTGGGACACCTCCAAGCTGCAGCATCACAGGGGACACCTCCAAGCTGCAGCATCATAGTGGGACACCTCCAAGCTGCAGCATTCTTGTGGGACACCTCCAAGCTGCAGCATCATAGTGGGACACCTCCAAGCTGCAGCATCATAGTGGGACACCTCCAAGCTGCAGCATCATAGTGGGACACCTCCAAGCTGCAGCATCATAGTGGGACACCTCCAAGCTGCAGCATCATAGTGGGACACCTCCAAGCTGCAGCATCATAGTGGGACACCTCCAAGCTGCAGCATCATAGTGGGACACCTCCAAGCTGCAGCATCATAGTGGGACACCTCCAAGCTGCAGCATCATAGTGGGACACCTCCAAGCTGCAGCATCATAGTGGGACACCTCCAAGCTGCAGCATCCAAGAAGCACATCTTACTAAGGTTCTCACTCTGTCTTTATATGAGTTCCTTTAAGGTAAAAACATTTTGTAAAGAAGAACAGTATGTGTGTAGTAATTTATTGAGAGAATAAGTAACGTTTGGTGTAGAGTTGGAGATACAAAGTGGTCAATAGGAGCAGGTCAGAGTGACATCTTTCTATAAAATATTTCTCTTTCAAATCTGAACTCAAAGATGCTTGGAGAGGATGTTGATGCAATCATTAGGATGTCAAGCAAGTATATATTTTATTAATATACCACATAGTGAGAAATATTTTAAATAAGCGTTCTTATACGGTAATTAGTGATAAAGTGTTTGTACAGAGGTTCATATATAATGTGGGAGTGTTGGTTGGCTGTTGTAGACTTGAGACATGCTTTCTTACCTCCTGGTATGATAATAAGATACACTGAGGACTTAATATATTATGATAGGGCATAACAACAACATAAATTAATCTATTTGCCACGTCATCAAAAGTAATGAAGATTTAGATGATTCCTTATTTTCTTATGTTTTGTATACAGTTATCAGAGAATGCATCGACCCTTACAAATTGAGGCTATGAGCGTGAATTTGCCTGATGGCCGCCATCTTTATAGCGTCTTTGACGGGGACAGGGAGCCAGCGATTTGTCAAAATTCCCCCCCCCCATTATTCCCAAGGAGACAGCATTTTGGAACTATGATCAACAGTCACAGATCTGACAGGAGTTAGATTTGAAGTACGTGTAGGCGTCAGGGAAGGCTGGAGCCTAAGCGTTGCCGTAGCCTAGTGCTGGGCGTCACCATGAAGGCTCATGGTTAATAATAATAATAATAATAATAATAATAATAATAATTTTTATTTAGGTAAAGGTACATACATAAAGAGAACATATATACTTAAAGTAGTATACTAAATGGAATGATAATTCAACTGCGGGAATATGTCCTCAAAATAAACTTTTATTTGTGAAGAAGAATTAATTTGTGTTAAGTTAATTTAGTACAGGTAGTTATATATATATATATATATATATATATATATATATATATATAACCACAAACTTGCATAAACCACAAGCCGATTGTATCAGGAAACACTCCTCACCATGTAAAGTGTTTCCATGAGTATATGTCTAAGGTTGATTCGAACCTTAGACATAACAGACATAAAAGACATAACAGTCTAAGGCTGGAACCTTGCATGGTGAGGATTGTTGCCTGATACAATCAGCGGCTTGTGGTTCATGTAAGTTTGGGGTTTACAATTGACACTCACGTTCTCCCCTATGGCGAATTGATTTGATGAAACGATTTCTGATCTGTGACCACGTAGTGCTCTCGGGTATTGGGCGTAAATAGTCTCGACTATCCAATACTTTTGAATAGTGTGGTGGTCATGTGGTCAGAGTACTGGACTTGTTAATGGTTTCATTGCTCCTGGCAGTCTAGGGTTTGAACCATTCTGGTGAGCAGTGTTCTTCGATATGACCGAAAGGGTAAGATTCTAACACGAATCTTCTCAATACTTCTTATGTTTTTCTGCGGTGTTGAGGGAAGTGGAAAAATTAACTCTCCAAAGTTCACTTTCGTACTTTTTATTTTGATCTGGCGCCAAGGGATGCATTTCGCAAGGTACTCCTTACATTCTCAACGATAAAGGTTACCGTGTTTAGCACCGGCTTTATATTCTCTTCGGGTGAGGTGGTAAAGAACAAGTGGATGAATGGCATAACATAGGGGATATTGAAAGGGTATTGAATGTATCAACTTGGGCAGCTTATGTTGTGGCTGCTTAAATTGTGTTCCTAAGTCATTTGATCCTGTCTCTGCATTGGCTCGGGGTCTTGAAGTGGATAGAATGTAATTATGTGTTAACTGGTTGTTGATTCCTGGTCTTGACTTTTCGATGTATAGCGCCTCGCTGATGTCGAGTCTTCTGTTGTCGTTATACCTGTGGATTATTTCAGTGTTGCTTGTTAAGATGTCTCTGGTGATGGTCTGGTTGTGTGAGGAGATTATGTGCTCCTTGATGGAGGCCTGTTGCTTGTGCATTTTTAATTGCCTAGAGAGAGACATTGTGGTCTTGCCTATATACTGAGATCTTTGGGGCTGACAGTCCCCAAGTGGACATGTGAAGGCATAGACGACGTTGGTCTCTCTTAATGCGTTCTCTTTGGTGTCGGGAGAGTTCTTAAGTTGGCGGGCTTCTTGTTTTTGTAATATATTCTTAATTGTATCTTCTGATTGGTGTCTGTGGGGATAACGTTCCTGTCAATAATATCTTTCATGACTCTTTCCTCCATTTTATAACCCGTGGAAAAGAAGTTCCTGTAAAACAGTCTGATAGGAAGTTACGGGTGTTGTGTTGGTTGCTTCTTCATAGGTTGCATGGCGTGTCATCTTTTTTTTTAAATTTCGTCTTCAACATAACCGTTAGAGAAGCCATTATTGATTAGGACCTGCCTTACTCTACAGAGTTCCTTGTCAACCTGCTTCCAACCAGACCTGTGAGTGAGAGCTCGGCTCGGCTGTACCTATGTGGGCAGTCACTATTAGCATTAAGGCACATTCCTATGTTAGTTTCCTTAGTGCAGACTGCAGTATGAAAGCCTTCATTCCTTTCCTCGACTGTTACATCTAGAAAGGGCAGTTTCCCATCACTCTCCATCTCATACGTGAAACTTAACACAACCATCAGTCTCGGGAGACTATGGAGTTGCGCTCTGGTTGTCGGTCTGGAGTGGCCTCTCCAGGGCACAAAGCCCTGAGGGTAGGTTGATACGGGGGAGAAGCTGTCACATATGCAGCAGGTCCTCCCCTCTCCACGGCGCCAAGTCTCCAATGGAAAGGCAAACGCCAATATGATTGGTTCCAGCACCATCGCAGGAACTGTCAGAACGAGGTTGAAGGTAACATCGAACTGCCCCAGGGGCTCCAGCTCCGGAGGTTATCTCGAGGTTGTTAAAAGAAGGCACAGCGACTCCCTCTGCTCTATGATACCCATGTAAAAATTCGCAAACAGGACACCTTGGTGGAGAACCCATGGCGACCCCATCCACTTGTTTATACGTGTACCCATCGGGGCTCAGGAAGGCTGCCTCTTTAGTGCAAGCTTCGAGTAATTTCCTCAGTTTGCTCTCTGGTATGTCCAGAGGGGTACAAGTCGGATCACGATATACTGTCCATCATCATCCTGATTGTTTCATCCACGGGCACGTTGGTAAACAGCGATTCCACATCCAGAGAGGGTCTCATCCCCATGGCCCGCACTCCCCACAGTAAGTCAACAAATTCCTTTGGAGAATTCAGGCAGAAAGCGCAAGGCACTTAAGGAGTCAGCAAGCAGTTGAGTCGCTTAGCCAGTCTGTGGGTGTGGGTATCTGGCTGATGATTGGCCGAAGTGGGTTTCCAGGTGTGTGGGTCTTGACATTCCCATACGCATAACCAGGTTTATATTCCCCGGTAACCTTTGACAAGTGGAGTTCGGATTTATTGGCATTCACAGTTTCAATCAATCTGTTTACCTTCGTTTTCAATTCGGCTGTAGTGTCCCTCGTGACCTTTTGGAATTTAGTTTGGTCGGAGAGGATGAGGTTCACTTTTGTCAGATATTCGTCTATTTTAACAATAACGTATATTGGCGACTTGTCACCTCTCCTGACGACTATCTCCTTATTCTCACGAAGGCTCTTAGTTGCCACTTTGAGCTCGGGAGACAGTATGGTGCTTCTGTAGTTACCTCGAATCTTGCAATAAGTTCCGCTTGCAAGGTATCTTTAGTGGTAACCTTCTTTTGCGTCTCGAGGTCGAATATGTCGGTTAGTAACCGACATATTCGTTGTAACCATACATAACCGACTCCACTTTCCGGGCCATCTCACTTGGTCTGGACATAACGTGACACTTTATTCCTAGATTTAAGAGTGATTTGGTCCTCATTGAGGTTGATTCCAGCAAGGTTTAAGAAGTTGTTACTTCTGTTAGTTAGTTGGTAGAAGAAGTTTATGTTTCCTTCAAGAGAAGTAGGATTTAACACATACCTTTCCTCTGTTATCTCATCATGAGAAGACGCATCCATATTGTCACTCAGAACCTCATGCTCAGTATCTTTTAGCATTTAGTGGTGTAACTGTGTGAGGATCATTACTGCACCACACATTAGCCAGGTGGTCTTGTACTGACCCCTCACCCTGATGCCCTTTGGTGTTCTTCAAGGTGTGCAGTGTCTGGTGTTCTTCAAGGTGTGCAGTGTCTGGTGTTCTTCAAGGTGTGCACTGTCTGTTGTTCTTCAAGGTGTGCACTGTCTGGTGTTCTTCAAGGTGTGCACTGTCTGTTGTTTTTCAAGGTGTGCACTGTATGTTGTTCTTCAAGGTGTGCACTGTCTGTTGTTTTTCAAGGTGTGCACTGTATGTTGTTCTTCAAGGTGTGCACTGTCTGGTGTTCTTCAAGGTGTGCACTGTATGTTGTTCTTCAAGGTGTGCACTGTCTGGTGTTCTTCAAGGTGTGCACTGTCTGGTGTTCTTCAAGGTGTGCAGTGTCTGGTGTTCTTCAAGGTGTTCACAGGAAACAGGAGTCTTGCCATGTGTGGCGGGAGAACTTTCCAAGCTTACTTCAGGTGCAGACAACACACTGCTCGAAGATTGTTTTGTTTTTCAATATCTTCGTGGTGACACAGTGAGTGAGGCGGTGGGTCTGGTGTTGGTGTTACACTCGGGGAAGCGGCTGAACCCATTTCCAGAGGGACGGACGTTTGTCCTTGTCAATGCCGCTGGCTTTAGGTTAACTTTGAAATGGTTTTAATGGGCCATAAGATGGACAAATCTGTAATACAGAACCATCTTGAGGTTATCTTGAGATGATTTCGGGGCTTTAGTGTCCCCGCGGCCCGGTCCTCGACCAGGCCTCCACCCCCAGGAAGCAGCCCGTGACAGCTGACTAACACCCAGGTACCTATTTTACTGCTAGGTAACAGGGGCATAGGGTGAAAGAAACTCTGCCCATTGTTTCTCGCCGGCGCCTGGGATCGAACCCAGGACCACAGGATCACAAATCCAGCGTGCTGTCCGCTCGGCCGACCATGCATGATAAACCTTTTCTACCTAAACACGTTACTGGAAATTACTGAAAATTATTGTATTATTGGAAACTTTAATTTTATATTTGACTTCTACAAACTTCTTTTCCCTGGCTGAAGAGTCGTGCTGTGACGACCCCGGGGGAGTGTTAGCCTTGTGAGACTCCTCCAGTGACCGAAGGATAGCAGATAGACTAAGTGTTCAGTCACCTAAGTCAGTGGGTCCTTTACTGCAGCTTGCATCCATTTGGTTTTTTAAATTTATGTTATTGTATAAATTTACTATGTTTATACATAGGTATAATAAAACACAGCACAAAAGTTGTTCTCACATGACTGTTCTTAATCCTGCTTGATCACAGAGCCAGATCCCCTCCGGTTTGATTATGAGCTTGCAAACCTAACCTAAAGGTTAAATAAATATTTTATTTTAAATGGAACACAACTAGAACCATTATGAACTCTCGTGGAATTCAGTTTTATGATGGACTCCCCCATTACATAATGGACCCTGCTAAGGACTCCCCCATTAAATAATGGAGTCACCTAATGTGCTTTTCGAGCGAAGGGCATTACTGGAAAATTTAAAGAAATATCTTGCAATGCACATTTAATTAAAAAATTCTCATTGATGTAGACTCCCCTATTTTCACAATGGATCAACCCAAGGACTCACCCATTAAATAATGGACTCGCCCAACGTGTTGTTCCAGTGAAGGACATTACTGGAAAATATTAAAAATGTCTTGAAATGCACATTTAATTTAAAAAATGTGCATTGATGCAGACTCCCCTATTTTTACAATAGACCCACCCAAGGACTCACCCATTAAATAATGGACTCGCCCAAATTGTTTTTCAAGTGAAGGACATTACTGGAAAATTTAAAAAAAATGTCTTGAAATTCACATTTAATTAAAAAATTCACATTGATGCAGACT